TTATAAGAAGTAGTTTTGTAGTGGGTCTATAAACATGATTTGTGGTAAGTCCAGACCATGGCTATATGCACGCTGCTGCTGTCCGGCACGGGCTAGGCCTATCTTTTTGGAACAAATTTCTTTTGCAAATTATTTTTTATGATTTTTAGAATCTGTAGAAATTACGTGGTGCACTCGAAGGGATTTAAGGCTAGTTAAGTGACGTGTGGCATTCGTAGAGGAATTGGTGGTTGGTCAAGGACACGTGGCTTGAATTTTTTTGGAAAATAATTTCTATTCTTGGCCTCTCCTTTAGTATAAATACAACACTTCCTTGCCACATTTGATCATCTCAATCCTGGCTTCTTCTCCTTCTTTGTTCTCTCATTTGTACTCTTGAAGGATTTTTTAGCACGAATTTAATCCCACTCCATTCTAGCGATGTCTTAGTCGGAGGTTGTGTTAACTTTGGGGGGCATTCCGGCTATACAACGATTAGCACTAGGGTCGTGCCAATTTTGCTTTCAAGTCTGTGGTCTCGTCTATGACACAACGACATTTTTCTCGATCATTCCAATTTCAACCCTACCTTTTCCAACATAGATTCCCATTTCGCTTCTCAATTCCTTAGCTAGAAGAAAATTCAACTTAGATTGAAAGATTTGTTCTCAGCCTCAACTTAGATTTGAAAAATTATTTGTTGTAGCTTCGTTGGTGTAGGATCAACTACGGAATAAGGGTAGCCTCCCTATCTCCTTCGTACCAGATTTGGAACAAGGGAGAGCTCCACCTCTTGCCATCATTCCCTCTTCTTGGTCGATTAAGGTTGTCCAACGTTGGCGACGACGACGATGACAGGCAAGGACTGAGACAACGAGCAAAGGTCATGGTGAGCTTCACTGGAGGGTGGGAAGAATAAGGCGCAAGGTGAAAGGAATGAGATATGAATAATAAAAGAAGAGAGATAGAAGTCCAGTCATACAAATTAAATCAATATATTTAACAAAATACAGTCAGCAATTTAACTGTCACGTCATTTTTTAACATTAGTTAACTAAAGGTCAAAGTATAGCTTAGGAATCATTTAGAACCATTTCTCAAACTTAGGGACCCAAAATGTTCATTTTCAAACATTAGGGACTAAATAGGCACCTACTCCAAATATCAAGGACAAAAAAATGTATCTTTCCCTATATTATTATTATTTATTATTTTTTTTTTGTTTTCCGGATCGGAGAATAGCTTTGTAGATAAAAATATTAAGTCGGTTGTTTGATAATTAAAAGAAAAAAGTGTTTATTTTATATTCATGAGGGATGTTCACGGGTTGGGTTGGGTCGGGTTGGGGGTGTTTTTGGGACCAACCCGAATTTTCAGGTTGGCAAGATATGGGAACCGGCGGATTAAAAAATGATGGCCAACCCAACCCAAAAACTTCGGGTTGGGATGGGTTGGACTATCGGGTTGGCAAAATTCAAAAAATCCTTATCCCACAAAAAAGAAAGTGAAAGCACAAAAAGAAAAAAAAAATTCAAGACAAAAAAGAAATAAATTTTGGAAAGACCAAGAAATATATAATATATATCAGAAGGAAGAGTGGGAGATCTCTTCCATAAGAGATATCGAAAAACTTGGCCAAAAACTTACCTACTTCAAAAACGGGCGGCAGAGGCAGGAGGAGATGGTGCAGCGGCGGCAGCAGTGGAAGGAGATGGTGCGGCGACCGCGGGAGGAGGTGATGCAGTGACGACGGGAGGAGAGAGCTTCAAGTTAAAGCTTGTATGATGGATAAAAATAGAGTTTGGTTGGGTAAATGGAGGACAGGAAGAGATTAGAGACTAGAGAGGAGATTCAAAATGTGATAAGGAAATGAAACCCTAAATTGAAATGAATGGTTGAGATTAAATGGAAATGGATGGTTGATTAAATGGAAATGGATGGTTGAGATTGAACCTAAAAAGTAAGGATTGAATTAATAATTATTATATATGTAATATTACTAATATATATATATATATATATATATATTAAAAAAAAACAGGATGTCGGGTCGGGTCAATCCGAAATTTTCAACGGCCAACTCGAGACCCGACCTAATCCGATTAGGTTGGGATTTTTCCAACTCAAACCAACCCAATGTTTAATCCAACCCAACCTTCGTCGGATTCGTCGGGTTGTCGGATTTTTTGAACCCCCTAGTATTCATTGTTTCTTGATTTATTAATTAAAAAGATTTATTAAATTTTTCATCTTTAACCTTCTCCCTTCCATCTAATTGACCAAACCGTTTTAACTTATAAAACCAATCAAAATCGACGGTAGTTTAGTCTTAGAGCTAGTTGGTTTTCGATTTCGATTTGATTAGATTTTGAATCTATTTTTTGTTCGGTTCAGTTTGTGATTATTATAATTATTATTTTATTTTTAGAAAACCCTCCATAACCCATATCTATTAGGTCTTATTTTTTAAATAATGTTTTTTTAAAACTTATCTTAGAAATAATATTGATTTAAAATAAATTAAATAAAAAATTGTGTTTTCTCAAATTTATTCCAAAAATAATGCGTTTTAAATTGGGGCGCGGCTTGGTCGTGACCATTGTATTTTAAGAATAGAAACGACCACACTATGTGGCCCAACAAGACATCATGTCAATCTTTTTTTTTTAAAATAAAACAATGGTCGTTCCTTCAAGAGACGACCATCTAAACGCGAACTACGGTCGTCACTTGTGAAAGCCTACAATGCAAGGATCAAATAACCAAAATACTGAATGAAGAATGAAGTGACCTGACCTTCCATAATCCTTGATTTTCCATTCGACAATTGTTCCTAGATTAGAATGTTTTATCATATATATCCACTTTGGCAAAAGTTTATATGATTGATTCCAATCACTAAAAACATGAGTCAAATCCCTTGTTTTTCCTTCCCAAACCCTTATGTTAGGAACATGATATTCAAATTTTTCCTTGATCAAATCTTGAAGTGTTGAAACACTTATAGAATGCTTAGCTTTCACTACATCACAAAGTTTTCTACTTATCATATTCGAATCCAATTGAAAATGACTCTGATTGAATTCCAAGTAGACACAAGAATGTTATAAGATTTATTTAGAATCGCACGGAGTTGTCGTTTGCATCCATCTTGGTACTTTTTACATCTAATTACCCAGTTAGATGGTTCAGACTCTACAATTTCTTAAGGGTGGTGACTCTTAACAGCAAAACGTTTCACAATATGTTGCATGATTTCTTTATCGTTACACCTAAATCCCTTGTACAACAAATCATTTTCAGCAGCCACTGGTTGAATAATAGAATCATGTTCTCTAGTACTATTAACCATGTCAATGTCCATGTTATTAAATGTTTGTGGATATCATGTTCACCCTCGAGGTCCAATTCATCAAACTCATCATATGTTGCTATCTCGAGTTTTATAAACCTATTCTTAGCAGTTAAATCCATATCCTGATCTAAATTAGTCCTTGGAGACACAACTAACTCAGACTCAGGATCAAGGCATTGACTTTAGTTAAGACATTGGCTAGGTGTTTCACCCACCAATGAGACATTCTTTCCACTCATAACATTCAATTATAATTCTACTATTTGTAGAGATGACAATGCAATTGAGAACATTAAATCCAATGCATGATATTGATTTTCTAATGGGATGGGAATGAACCTAATTAATCCTGATGGTGTTTGATTAGGGTGTGTGTACACAAGTTCTAATTCATTTATGCTCATATCTACCTTTGCGATACTTCAACAATTTGAATAAAATGTTCAAACTCAATACCACTATAAACAATACAACCTCCACAGGGCGGTTGATCATACTTGTTATGTAACGAGAATCGACGATAGCCAAGCTACAGGTCGCGATCGGAGGGGAGCCCACTGAGCCACGAAGGGCTCGGTCCCGACCAGTGCTCGGCCCCGAGCCGGGCTCGGCCCACGACCCGGCCAGCAATCTCCCATCTTCGATCAACGATTTCACCCAGGCCCTGCAACTGTGAATTAGGGTTAGCTACGGAAAGTTCTGGAACTACTTCTCGACTATAAGTAGTAATCCAACCCTAGAGGTAGGGGCATCTAAAGCTGACCACATTCATATTATTCTCTTGCTAACTTAGGCACCGGAGCCCGTGTGACTAGAGTCACACCAGTTTAGTTTGATTTGGTTTTGCAGGTATTAGTCCCAAATCATCAAGTTTGGTGTGTGCGAGGAGGAGAATCGGAGGACCGAAATCCACGCATCAACAATTGGCGTCGTCTGTGGGGACGATTTAAA